GACGAAGCCAAGCTGCTCGCCGTGGAAATCTACAAGTGGATCCGCGACGCTCTGCGGCCGCCTCTGCAGAACATCAACTCTGTGCAGGTGGGGGGGCTCGGCCTGGTGCCGAGCTTTTAAAGGAGTCATATTATACCCTATTTGAACAAGTTAACCTAGTTCCCTGGTGTCCTAATGTAATGTCTGTGACAGGCTTTGGTCAAAACCCCATAAGGATGAAGCCCAATAGCAGTTCAGTCCCCCTGCCTAACCCTAACCCTAACCCTAACCCTAACCCAAAACAGCCCCGTTCAGAGCGCTCGCTTTGGAGTGCCTGTCTCTTTAAATGCAAATGAGACACAGGCAATCCACCCACTTCTTCAGGGAGGTGTGCCCACGTCGGCACGCTAACGCTACCATGCTAATGCTACCATGCTAACGCTACCATGCTAACGCTCACGCTACCACGACGTCTCCACAGATAGGGGAGTAAGCTGAGGGGGGGGGGCAACATGCAGGTGAAAGGCTGGAATATTATAATGAGCTAGAGCTAATGACGTCAGAAACTACCCACTCCTGAAACCTCCTGATTTATCTCCTGGATTCAGACTGAGGCAGCACAAAAAAAAAAAATATATATATATATATAAAATGAAATGAGAGTTGCTTGTTCCATATTCAATGTTAAAGCAAAATTCATTTGGTTCCACATTAAAAGGTTCATTTGTTCAGTCTTGGCCCGCGGCTTTGTTCAGGTTTTACATTTCGGCCCACTGAGTTTTTGAGTGTGACACCCCTGTTTTAAAGCATCTTCTGTCTATGTGCAGCTCAAAGAGCTGGAGGAGGAGTGGGTGAAGCTGCCCTCAGCCCCCCCCAAGCAGAGCCGGTTCCTGCGCTCGCAGCAGGACCTGAAGGCCAAGTTCCAGCAGCAGCAGGCTCAGGGAGAGCAGTCCGACGGTGGGTGGGGCGGAGGGTTCCCGTCTCCAGCTCCTGGGGCTGGAAACGGGGCGCCATGGTAACCATGTCTTCCTCCTTCAGGAGACGATGAGGAGGAGGCGGTGGCCGCCGTGGATCCCTACGAGCTGCTGGAGCCCGTGGAGATTCTGTCAAAGATGCCCAAAGACTTCTATGACAAGATTGTGAGTCGGTCTGATGGAAGGGTCCTGTCTTACTTCACATTTAAGAGGACTTGAAACTGTAGCAGGGATTTCCCCATCCAGCTTTTTTCACTTCCGATCCAGACCCCGGCCTATCAGAGCATGTGTTAAAGTTTAAAGTTATTTATCTACTTACTTAGTTGTCAGACTCATGTTGAACAGGGATTTACTCTGATAACAACTTAATGGTTAGGACACAGACCTGCGGGTTACAGATGCTAATGCTAAGGCTAATGTGGGATCGGACTTTTAAAAAAACTGGATGTGATGTTAGAATATTGGTACGTTGGTTTAAATATTCCCATCAGAATCCACTGTAATTCCTAGAATTGGTTCCAAAAACCTACAAACTCCTTAATAAATACGGCAGATAATCACACATAGCAATAAAACAAATGACTTATAGAAGAGAGATGGAAAAAGAAATAAATTAAAAAGAAATCATCAATAAAAAGGGTTTTTATTGGCCCCGTTCCAGGTTTTTTTTTCTCACTCCGATCTGATCCCGGTCTATCAGAGCATGTATTAAAGTTTAAAGTTATTTATCTACTTACTTAGTTGTCAGACTCACGTTGAACAGGGATTTACTCTGATAACAACTTAATGGTTTGGACACATAGCCTAAACTGTCGCAGCAGCTGGTTGGTTTTAAAACGGAGGTGGAAAATAAACCAGTGCCATCCCGATGCATTCTGGGTAAAAACCGCCTCCTCTTTGCTTTCTGCCACTACAGGAAGCTAAAAAGTGGCAGGAAAGGAAAGAAGCTCTGGAGGCCATCGAAACCCTGACCAAGAACCCCAAACTGGAGAACGGGGACTACGGAGACCTCGTCAGAGCTCTGAAGAAGGTAAAGACTCAAAATGGCTCCCAGAGTCCATTCCTTAGACCCATTTCTGCTCGTTAGAGGGATTCAGGCTCTAAGTGGAGGAAGCAGGGCTCTGCTGGGCCATTCTGTTAGAATATTAATTTTCGATTATTTTTTTTAACTTTATATTTCTTTGTTAACAATTACAAGGTGTGAAAAGGAAAAAAGGAGAGGAAAAAACAGAAACAAACACATACACAACATAAACAAAACTATATATTGTCCAGATTGGGATCAAGCTGGTAAACAAATGCCCCATATGTTCAATTAGTCAATTCAATGTAAATAATCCACTTTGTCCATTTTTCCACACTGGAGTCCATCTTTAGTCTTATTCTGTGGGTCGATTTCTCCATGACATATATGTCCTTAACAATTTCCAGCCAGTCCTCTTTGTCTGGGGGGGTCTTCTTCTTTGTACCATTTTTTGGTGATTGTTTTTTTACTGGCAGCCATAAGGATTTTAAACAGGCACCTGTCAGATTTACACAAAATATTTCCTGAGACATTTCCAAGATACAACACTGGGAATGTTTTGGGTATTTGGTAGCCATAGAATATTAAATTTAATGAGGATCCCCAGTTTGATTGGATTATTAGCAGAAATGTGGCTCAGTATGGTTTGAAAGCAGAGTTATTTTTATTCAATTGCATTGTTATTTTGGCCCAATCTTTAGCTTTAAATGTGGTCGTGTGGTTAGCTGATGGCGGCTTCGGTAAAGGTGGAGTTTAGAGGAATCAGTCCGCCCCTGAGCCTGTACAGACTGATCTGTTCTGTGTTCCAGGTGGTGGGGAAGGACGCCAACGTGATGCTGGTGTCGCTGGCGGCTAAATGCCTGGCTAGCCTTGCCTCTGGTCTCAGGAAGAAGTTTGGAACTTATGCAGGACAAGTAAGTGCCTGTAATCTGAGTGAGCGTTCTTAGGAGTGCTGACTGTCATTTAATCCTTTCTTTACTTCATTAGTTTAACAGCAGACAGTAAACTATCACATGATGTCCAAAAAACATTCATTTAAACACGTTAGTCCTTTAGAAAAGCTCTGAAACTACTAAAACATGCAGATAGTCCAGTTACTTTGACTCAGATGGTGCTAAATGCTCCACAGCTCCATCTTTCAGTAAAAACAGCTGAGGATATTTTCCAGCTAATTTCCTGATGACTGACTGGAAGCGAATGCATCAGATGGATTACAGGAATAGGGAACTATCAGAGCAAAGAGGCAGCAGGGTTTCATTTTGGAGCTTTTTAAAATCCATAACTTGATTCTCCTCCATTTATCACATCGATCTTTTAGGTGGTTCCAACTATTCTGGAGAAGTTTAAGGAGAAGAAGCCTCAGGTGGTCCAGGCCCTGCAGGAGGCCATCGATGCCATCTTCCTCACTGTAAGTCCTCCCCCCGACCACTGTGTTTAAAACTCCAGATAAAC